ATTGCACTCCAGCCTGGGCAACAAGTATGAAACTCCGTCTCAAAAAAAACCAAAAAACAAAACAAAACAAAAACAAAAACCCTTACCAGCATTATCTTCATTCTAAAAAACAGACAGAAAAACTTGATGGCTCTCCTTGACTTCTTTTATAATAAATGATATTTTTGCTCATTTATTTTTAATTGGATTCAACTGCCTGAGGCTGTAAGCAGTAAGCAGTGTGATCTCCTGGTAGAAAAATAACCAAGCATTTAGGAAGCTTCCAGTTGACAGCCTCAGACCTCTCCACTTTGCTGAAGCTCTGCAACAGTATCGACTTTCCATTGTGGACTCTTTTTTTTTTTTTTTGAGACAGAGTCTCCTCTGTTGCCCAGGCTGGAGTGCGGTGGTAAGATCTCGGCTCATTACAACTTCTGCCTCCCAGGTTCAAGTGATTCTCCTGCCTCAGCCTCCTGAGTAGCTGAGATTACAGGCATATGCCACCACACCCGGATAACTTTTATATTTTTAGTAGAGACGGGGTTTCACCATATTGGCCAGGCTGGTCTTGAACTCCTGACCTTGTGATCTGTCCGCCTTGGCCTACCAAAATGCTGGGATTAGAGGCGTGAGCCACAGTGCTCAGCCGACAGTTTTAATATACATACTAATGCTGGAAAACATTTTGGGAGGCAAAGAAGAATATTCACTGGTTCACTGGTCTTAGCAATAAATATAATAAAAAAGAAAAACATGGACAGGAAGGTGGTTGAAAGGCTCTAGGCAAAATGGTCTGGGTTTATTTTTTTCTGTGATAATTTCAAATTATCCATCATTCACTGTAATAAGATACCATTTCAGTGGTGGAGTTGCATAGTCTTTTATTTTTCTAAAGATGACCATTCCATGTTTAATGTCTTCAGAGAAGATCTAAAAATCAAAGTTAACAACCCATTTGTCCCAACTCCAACTCTTCCTGGGAACAATTCCTCATTCTGTTACTCGATTTCTTCCTTTACCACCCACATAAAATATGTCTTACTGCTCACAGGATCAAAAGAAAACAAAACAAAACATTGAAACATCAGAGTTGTTTAAAACACTAGATTTCATTCAATGGTCCAATTGGACACTTGCACATCAGAACTTATTTCTGCTTCAGCTCTAGTTCTTTGAGAAATACAATAATTATTTTTAAAATATTAGCCTGACACAAGAATGTTGAAAAGTTAGCTGCCTTAGCATTATTGCTGCCTATAAAATCTCCAAAGATCTGAACACCTAGAAGATTAAATGTAGCAAGAAGTAGAAGAGAAACACAGTTTGTTAAGTCATTTAATAACTATAATTGCATAGAATTTACTCACTTTTCAAATACTTATTCTGAATGAATACCAAATTTGTGAAACAAAATATATCCTGTGGTGCTTAGAATGGTTGTTACATGTTGAGTTAGCTTTCCAAGTAAACTTTATCTGCATTAACAGAGGGGAATGCACAATAATCCTATGACATAGGCCCTATTATCCCCACTGAATAGAAGAGAAAAGGAGGCTCAAAAAGATTAAGTAACCCACGAAAGGTCACACAGCTATGACTATCAGTGTCCTGTTGGGCACTGCAAACTAGGCCACTTTTAAAGTAAGATAATTTTATTTTATTTTATTTTTGAGACGGAGTCTCGCTCTGTCGCCCAGGCTGGAGTGCAGTGGCCGGATCTCAGCTCACTGCAAGCTCCGCCTCCCGGGTTTGCGCCATTCTCCTGCCTCAGCCTCCCGAGTAGCTGGGACTACAGGCGCCCGCCACCTTGCCTGGCTAGCTTTTTGTACTTTTTAGTAGAGACGGGGTTTCACCGTGTTAGCCAGGAGGGTCTCGATCTCCTGACCTCGTGATCCGCCCATCTCGGCCTCCCAAAGTGCTGGGATTACAGGCTTGAGCCACTGCGCCCGGCCTAAAGTAAGATAATTTTAAATTGAGTGCTGTTACTTACAAAATGAACACAATGTGATAATTGACAAAATATTTCACTGACACTGGACTTATAGAAAGTTTAAGGAAAACCAAGATTAAGGATTCCAGATTCAGATGTCTCTTTATCTTTTTTTTAGACAGGGGTTTCACTTTGTCACCCAGGTTGGAGTACAGTGGCGTGATCTCAGTTCACTGCAACCTCTGCCTCCCAGGTTCAAGTGATCCTCCCACCTCAGTCTCCTGAGTAGCTGGGACATCACAGGTGCATGCCATCATGTCTGGCTAATTTTTATATTTTTTTTAGAGACAGGGTTTCACCATGTTGGCCAGGCTGGTCTCAAATCCTGAGTTCAGGCGATCTGCCCACCTCTGCCTCCCAGAATTCTGGGATTACATGTGTGAGCCACTGTGCCAGGCCTTAGGTCCCTTTCAAATACATGATATTCCTAATTTTCCTGATCTACTATTGCAGGGGAGGGGAAGAATCTTCTTCCTTTTTTTTTTTGAGACCGCGTCTCGGTCTGTCGCCCAGGCTAAAGTGCAGTGGCGCGATCTCGGCTCACCGAAACCTCTGCCTCCCAGGTTCAAGTGATTCTCCTGCCTCAGCCTCCTAAGTAGCTGAGACTACAGGAACCCGCCACTACGCCTGGCTAATTTTTGTATTTTTGTAGAGATGGGGGTTTCACTATGATGGCCAGGCTGGTCTTGAGCTCCTGATCTTGTGATCCGCCCACCTCGGCCTCCCAAAGTGCTGGGATTACAGACGTGAGCCACTGTCCCTGGCTGGTGGTGAGAAATCTTCTATGGCTTAAAAAACAAACATAGGCTGGGTGTGGTGGCTCAGGCCAGGCACTGTGGCTCACGCCTGTAATCATCCCAGCACTTTGGGAGGCTGAGGCAGGTGGATCACTTAAGGTCAGGAGTTCAAGACCAGCCTGACCAACATGGAGAAACCCCATTTCTACTAAAAATACAAAATTAGCTGGGCGTGGTGGCACATGACTGTAATCCCAGCTACTTGGGAGGCTGAGGCAGGAGAATCGCCTGAACCTGGGAGGCAGAAGTTGTGAGCCAAGATCACGCCATTGCACTCCAGCCTGGGCAACAGAGTGAAACTCCATCTCAAAAAACAACACAACAACAGACATAGCAATTCCATTCCTACGTATACACCCAAAAGAATTGAAAACAGGTATTCAAACAAATATTTGTACACAAATGTTCATTGAAGCATTATTCACAATAGCCAAAAGAAGGAAACAACCCATATCATCAACAGATACCGGATAAACAAAATATGATATCCATACAACAGAATATAATTTAGCCATAAAAAGGAATAAAGTAGTGATACATGCTATAATGTTGATTAACCTTGAAAATATGATGATGTCTGGGCGTGGTCATTCACACCTGTAATTCCAGCACTTTGGGAGGCCGAGGTGGGTGGAACACCTGAGGTCAGTTCAAGACCAGCCTGGCCAACATGGTGAAACCCTGTCTCTACTAAAAGTACAAAAATTAGCCAAGCATGGTGGTACACACCAGTAATCCCAGCTACTTGGGAGGCTGAGGAAGGAGAATCTCTTGAACCGGGTAGGCAGAGGTTGAGATTGAACCATTGCACTCCAGCCTGGACAATAAGAGTGAAACTCTGTCTCAAAAAAACAAACCAAAAAAAAAGAAAAGAAAATATTACGCTAAGTGAAAGAAGCCAGATACATAAAAAGGTCACATATCATATACTTCCATTTATGTGAAATATCCAGAATAGGTAAATCCATAGAGACAGGGGGCAGATTAGTGGCTATTGTTAGCAGTCAGAGAAGAAGGGAATGGGGAGTAACTGCCTAATAGGTATAGGGCCTCCTTTGGGGGTGATAAGAATGTTCTGGAACTAGAGAGCAGTGATGGTTGCACACCACTGTAAATGTTCTGCCAGTGAATGGTACACTTTAAAATGGTGAATTTTATGATATATGAATTTCACCTCTTTTAAGTTCCAAATAAGGCATCATTGTAGCAGAGGTCTTCTAATCTGTCTGGTTGGCAAAGCACCTAGTATTTTACAGTACAGAAGAAGCTTTAAAAATGCTTTTAATTTGTATAAAGTGCAAAGAAAAAGAATTCTGAGAAGCACATGAAAGAATATAAAATGGCCAGAGCCTAAGAAATAAGCTAATATACATGCATATGGACACATCTACATATTTGAGCATATGCAGAGACATGTAAATACTCAGGAGAGAAATTTGCTTTTCCTCATAACTTATTTTGTGTTTCTCCAAAACCTGAAGAGTAGATAACAGCTGACAGTTACCCGCCTCTGAGTGTGACAAGAGGTCACACAGAGGGAGGGCCTCTAGCTGCCATTTCCTATTGCTTCCCTGGTGAAACAACGCAGGCGGCTGAGTCACTTTAGGAGACGCTCAACAGGGCTCCCATTGTTTCAACCTCAAAATTCCGAGATACAACGTGCCCCATTCATACAGACAGCTTACAGGCTGGGGATGGTCCCTCAGTGTGCAGTCAACTTTTTATTGGGGCACTGAATTTTCAAAAACACTGACTTGCACAAATAGTGTTAATTATTATTTTTTAAATGGTACAGAAATAAAATTCAACAGACACTAAACTGGGAGTCAGGACACCTGAGTCTTACCCTTAGCTCTCTGATGCAACTTTAAGCAAGTCGCGTGCTCTTTCTGGACCTCAGTTTCCTTGTTTGTAAAAACAAATGATTTCCTAAGATCACTCAGAACTCTAAAATTCTCTGAACACTTATGAAGTCTATTGAGCTTGCTTCACTGTTCACTCCAATGAGTGGGGGTAAGTTATAAGCAGAAAAATATCATTACTTCACTTCTTTTCATTCACTATCAACACTTAAAAACGAACAGTCTTAATAAAAACCAAGTCCACTTTCTGTTTTCTCTCTTAAACAGACAAATCATAACAGAGTCCAGTGAGTCCCTCTGTTGCAAGAAGTTCAGGATCACTCAAGCAAGTAACCCCACACAACGCACAATGATAAAGAGCATAAACACAAGCCATAAGTATATTTTTATGTCGCTTTTTCTTAGATTATTGATGCATTTCCAGAATCTCTTCATTTCTTTGCAATAACTGAAAACCCCCAGAAGAAAGACACCATTTACAGTAAGAATGTGATCAATGTTATAAGCTTCTGCACCATGTCATTTTTTTGTTTTTTCAACCTCAAAACTTGCCAGAGCAAGGATTTTGTCTCCAGAGCCTAAGAAAAAAGACACATAATAAACAAAAAGATTATTTCAAGTGCAGATATAATTCCTGGTAAAGTGGGGGGAAAAAAATCTATCATATAGATATTAAAACAGAAAATATAATTAGACTCCATTATCAGTGTATTAACTCCTACATGTTCCTTCCCTCTGCACAAACAATCCAGCTACAAAAGCAGACTTATTAGTTATAAATCCTTATTCTAGCTGTGAAATATAATATGTAAAATTTAGTTTATTTTTTATTTTTTGAGATGGAGTTTCACTCTTGTCACCCAGGCTGGAGTGCAGCGGTACAATTTTGGCTCACTGCAACCTCCACCTCCTAGGTTCAAGCAGTTATCCTTGCTACAGCCTCCCGAGTAGCTAGGATTACAGGTGCACGCCACCATGCCTAGCCCATTTTTGTATTTTTACCCTGCTGGCCAGGCTGGTCTCAAACTC